TAGCGAACAGCGAGTTGAATAAATGACTGGGGAGATAGTTCTCCCTGAAAGCTTCCGGGATGGAGACACTAAAGAGTCCTAATTCTGGGATCTTCTCCGCCCCAAAAGTGAGCTTTCTACTTTAGTCTTGCGTGACTGCGAATGCTAGTAGAAGCTATCTATGTCAGCTAAATTTTGTGTTGTTTGTTTAACAAAGCTAACCGAAACTTAAAAAAAAAAACTATGATTCGATATTATAGAAAGTATATCTTTTTTCGTTGATATTTTACTATCCTGAAGGAGCTTTTTTAGGTGCAGAACGATACCGATACAAAATTCTAACCTCTTTTGAGTTCATTCATCGACGATGTTTGCTCTTTGGCACTTCTATCCCAAAATTTTAGGTTGTCCGATTTGACGCGGTATCACATTTTTAGCAGCACGAGAGGTTAATTTTTAAATTTATTTATATATTTTTACTGTTGAAATTATCTAGTCGACAAATCATTTTCACGTTGTAACAAAAGAAATTGAAAATCTGAACTTTTGATATATCAAGATCTCTCCCGGGGGACACAGAAAGGCAATATTGCTACTACTAACATTTTTAACCAATTATTTCTTTAAGATTTGTATGTTTTTATTCCTCGTTTCAATAAGTGCGGAATTTTCAACAGCACAAATACTGTTTTTGATAAGACATCAACACAATTGGTGTTTATTTTTATAATGAAACTTTAAATTCTGGAAGTTATTTAAATATATTATAAACTTGTGATTCGTGACTAAACTTGTATTTATTTTTAATAAATTTCTTAGGTTTGTTATGTGATTTAAAAAAATATATAGCACATAAGAGTTATATCAAATACATTTTTTACAATGTGTTTGTGCAATATTAAATGCGTATTTTCTATAATTGTTATATTTTGGGTTAATGTGAGCCATATATATATATATATATATATATATATATATATATATATATATATATATATATATATATATATATATATATATATATATATATATATATATATATATATATATATATATATATATATATATATATATATATATATATATATATATATATATATATATATATATATATATATATATATATATATATATATACATATATATATACATATATATATATATATATATATATATATATATATATATATATATATATATATATATATATATATATATATATATAAATATATATATACATATATATATATATATATATATATATATATATATATATATATATATATATATATATATATATATATATATATATATATATATATATATATATATATATATATATATATATATATATATATATATATATATATATATATATATATATATATATATATATATATATATATATATATATTAAATTATTAATTACGAATTGTCATGACTGTTTGGCAACCCACAAAAATTAAAATTGAAACATTATTTTTCGAAATATTTACACACAATTATATATTTTTGAAAAGCTTGATAAGAATAAGTGAATAAACATATCCTTGAATTCACTAGGAATTTATTCTTACTTAAAATTTTCACTATTTAAAAATCTTTTTTAGGACAAACACATTATTTGAAAGGCCGTTCAAAGGTATTTTGTTGTGACCAAAGTACCCCTATTAATATTAGGTCCTAAAGTTTTGCTAATCATATATAACAATAAAATTTATTGCTCTCTGCCATTGAGCGACTATAATCTTTTTCTAGTTCTCAGTTGGGTGGTATTCCGAATCGACAGACGGAAAAATTGGGCCACAGGAAAAACTGCACAAAAACAAAAAGCGTTTATCTAAATATAACGTTTATTTCATCAGTAAAGAATACAACGTCGTCAAGAATTTTTAGTAACTAATAAAAAAAACGGCCGAAATTATTAGTTTAGTAGTAAGTTGTTAATATACACATTATTACATTTACTTACAGCTTACGTTACGTTAACTTTTTTTCCTCAATTTTTAAAAAGTACGACTTCATAATACAAAAATTACTATCCAAATGTAGTGTCCTAATTATAATCCTCTAACTACGGTACGTTAAGTCGAATTTTTGGTTTTTGGTATCGGTGAGCATTATTAGTGGCGACCGCCCTCTGAACGCCAAGTGACCTCCATTTAAACTGCAATCCAGCCGATATCGATTGTGCGAGGTAAATTTTGTTTAGACCGAGACGTTTTTTATAGCTGTTCGGGCTTTTTTCAGTCGTTGCGTATGTAAAATAGCTGCTGATAATTTCCACGCCTGGTCTTGATTAACAAATATTTTTCGAAATGGTTGATGCAGTAATTGGAAGAAAATTGCAGGGTGATTCATAGATGATAAGCAGAAATTCTCTGGGTTACTATTTAAATAAACAGTAAAATCAGGTTCGCCATAAATTTCTGGTGAGTTTTACATAACTTAATACCTTCTCTTCTTGTCAAAGTTTATTTTCAATGATTCAAAGCTATAGAAAATGTCAGATAAAAAACTTGATTTTTAGGTTTGATCTCTACTAAATTATTAGTTTCAGAAATATGATCCATACGTAATTAAATTCTGAGCAAAAGTTGGGAAATAACAAAAAAGTGACATCGATTTTGTAAAAATGTACCGAAACGATTGCAGATATCCATTTGCACCTTGTGCCTTTATTTTTTGCACGAAAATTAAGCCCCAACAGTGACATTACTTTTCGTCCATCTCCTTTAGAAAGTGGGGATGCCCTTTAAATGTGCCCAATTTGGCTCACCCTATATATTTTTATCGAATCTATTGTAATTATTGCCTCACATGTCTATCGCGCCGTTTCAGTTTAGATCTAGTTCACTGTCGGTAACTAAACCATACAAGGCTGGCTTTTATTTTATTTACATGCAGGTTTTTGCGGTACGTGGGGGAAGTTTCCGAGCCCCATAAAATGTCCCTCTTGGCGATTATCGGATTCGATTTTGGGTGGCGTCGTTTTCGTTTTATTGAAAAATTCGTACGCGGATTCGGAAACTTCCGCTACAATTCGCCTTTTATTTACATCGAGGGAGCCTGTAGATATTAAAATTTTGTTTTGTTTGATAAAGGAAATACGACGATACACACACAAAACAGCAACGCTTTCGCGTTTGGAAGAAACACCCAGGAAAATATTTATATGAAGAAGTCCTCATCGAGGAAAAACAAATGAGTCTACGTTTCTCTCGAAGACAATGTAATATATCTATTTCGCTGAAGCGTAGAGTAATAAATGTGGCTCTCTGGTCAATTTTTCCTTTGTGTTATATTCACTTTAATATTGATGTTTATTTTCTTTTTTAATTCTGTGGCCCTCTATTTCATTTTATTATTATTATTATCATTTTTAATCAAAAATTAATTTTCTCATTTATGAAACTGCATTTCCTAAAAAAAAACATCTAGCGGAAATTCGAGATACTCAAAATGTAACTTGCAATGATTACGATTACAAAATATTTGGTGTTATCTATTCCAATTGATCATAAAAAGTACAACTTCTTCAATTACAAATACAAGGCTCTACAATATGAGATATGATTAGTTTTTTATAATACATTTAAAACTGTAAAAAAAGACAAAGAGAACAAGAAGAAGTGTCTTTGTAGACATTTCGATATTCAAATATTGCAAAACTTTAAAAAGCTCTATAACAATTGTTTTGCTTTAAATTCTTGCATGGTCATATTCATTGTGCATTAGCATTTATGGGTGTCGGTAGATTGCAACCCCCAAATGTGGCAAAGCTGTGGGTTGCTGAAAAAATATTTAGTTGTATTGGGTCTCGGACACAATTCCAGAGTACCTAATACTCCAAGATTGTCTCAAATACAATCTTACGACAAAATTTAATTTTAGATCCTTTAAAATGCAATTTAATTGTATTTGGATCAATAATACTAAATAATTTCAATATCTTGATTAATGAACACAAGAATACTCACAGAAAGATTGCGTTAAAAACGTTGGTTTGTTCATTGATTAATGTCTAAATCTTATTATATACTGAAGCTGCTTTATTCCAGTGGGCATTTTCTTAACAGACGACTGAAACGAAATCTCTGTGAATCATGAGCGTTGTCACGTTTTACGCGTGAAGTATGAAATCTCTTTTTTTAGCAATCAGAACTTGTTTTGACTTACCAAGAAACTTATTTTAAGAGCTTGCGCAGATTAAACATCGATTTGGTGCGACGAAAATGGGCACATAATTGATTTTGATGAAAATTTGTTTTCTTCTTCCTCTCATTGGCATTAGCAAATCATTGATTTAGGGTTTGCAAAATACATATTTTTTCTAAATAGTATTGTTGGTTCCAAATGATGACACTTTCATATAATAAAACTGTCTGTGCAACATTCATTATTATCTAAATATTAGATAAAAATTGGTGTATGACATATACTAATAAAAACTTGTTCGATTCATCTTAATATTTGCTATAGATGCAACTGTAATTGCAAATAGGTTTTATTACTCTACGTCTCAACGAAACATAGTATGACCTAAAATGTGAGAAGCTTTTGACAAGTGTTATCGCGAGACCATTACTAGGAACAGCCCGGTGTTAGTCTTTTAGTAAACACAGTATAAAAAAATTGTGGTAAAAAGTGAAATTAGAAAATTAAGCCGAAAGTCTTTTTTTGGGTTTCGCGATGCGTGAGAGTCGAGTTTTCAAAAAGATTGTCTAAGTGGTTCGCGGACGTCAAGCGACCTGCTCAGTCGCTTCACCTCCGTCGGATACATTCACTACAAGAGTGTCACCGTTCACGAATATACATTTAAAAAATACACATCGAGTCTCTACGTTCCTAAACTCTGATTTATAACAAGGTCTGCGTGAAAAAATTCTGTGTCCCGTAACTTACGGACCGCACCTCGTAGACGTACGGCCTTCGTGTACCCGGACCGATCCACATGTTTCCGAACGCGTAACCGCTTGACACTAGACAGTTCTAAGGAATCGTCGTCGTCGTCACATTTTGCTTTACCATTTGAAGTACCCTTTGTTACATGAACGTGCGCTGCCGCACCATTTGGTCTCTACGAGCGAGGGACACAACCTACCCCCTCGCCGGGCGTGTTTTATCACCTCCCTGCGACGCTGCATCTCCCCGATTCCGCAAGATTTACTGCAAGCGCTCCACTCTGACCAATCTGTCACCCTGCAGTCTCGCGGTGGACCTACAGCAAGGGGAAGCTTTTCAAAATATTTACATTCTTATAAGATAAATAGCCCAACTATCGGAGAAACTTTAATTATTTTTGTAGTAAGAAGATTTTAACAAAATCACATAAGAAAATATGTGTCAGTTAATTCTTCAAAGGTTTGCAAAACCTGAAATCCAACCAGGTCGGCAGAGTGTAAACAACCGGTAAGTCACCACAAAAAGGAAGATAAATGTCGGTTGCTTTTAAGGTCATATGGTCGGTTATAGGTTTCAATTGCGTTACTTTTTATTGTTTCGAAAAATATGTTCAATAATAGGTAATTGATACTCTAAAAGTGATAAATTAAGGGAAACAGATTTTTCGAAAATGAGTGAATATTTTACTTTTTTAGCGTTTGTGTTTATTGCATTATATTTACGAGGGTGGGGTGAAGAGTTACCGACCTGACCAAGAGGTGGCGCCACTAGGTCTACTTTTGGAACTTTTTGAGACCACATCCCTTCAGTTGTTTCCGTGAAAATGAAAAATTTGGAAAAACGTCTGTGACCAAATACTTCTATTTCAAAGGTTTTACACCAAAATAAATTAAAGAAGAGATGGACTTAACACTAGGAGCGTCCTCCTCATCATATTTAACTACTGAGCAGTGCGTTTCTGAATTTAAAACGGTTCGTGTGCGCACCTCTGACGAGTCTCGCCCTCGCCCGTTGAACTAACAACAACTTCAAAAATGATTAAGACAAGACTTGTAGGATGTCAGCTGAACGTATGTGAAAAATTTATATATATATATATATATATATATATATATATATATATATATATATATATATATATATATATATATATATATATATATATATATATATATATATATATATATTAAATTTTTGCAATTTTTCTAATATTTTAATAAAATTTTCAATCAATTTTCTATCAATCTGAATTATTTTTACGGTGTCCGATAATTGGGCCACAGAAAAACTAGTTCCATAATACCAATTCTACTCTCTCGTTACACAGTATCTATGCTACCGACTTACGTATTTTTCTGGGCGTTTTCTTCAACTTCCGGTATTTCTTGTGCTGATTCTTGTCTTTGCTGTGGTTCATGTAGGAGTCCACGATGCTGTTCATTATTGCCTGCTTATTCCCCCTTGGAACGATGGCGGGGAAGACGGGGGAAGTAGCCGAGGGAAACGCCTCTTCTTTTGGGTTACTAAAAATTTTTTTTGCATAACAGAATTTATTAGATAATGGATTATTTTATAGGTCGTCATGCATATTTTTCCCTGCAAAGATATCAAGTATAACTCATAACCATGAATATCAGAAAAGTTCGGTTAGTAGGAGACTGTTGTTACTATAGTTACTTAGAATCCTAATTAGAGTTGATTAATTTTTTAAACACCCTCTATATTTCGTCTATGCAAGTTAAAGACTTGCCATTTGCAACCTTAAAACTAGGTTAAATTTTGTCAAAATTAAAATTGCGTAAGTTATAGACAGTGTAGGTAGATATGATAAATGTAATTGTTAAAGATTATCCCAAAAAGCTATAATAAACAGAGGGATGACATTTAAAAAAAATCCCTTTAACACTTTCGACCATTAATTATCAATTATCAATTATTGTTATTTACTTTCCTCGAAGATTAGCCGAATTCTTTTAATATATAAAATCACAACTGCAGATTGGGAAAACAATGTCTGGTATACGCTACTATAACTCAAAAATATTTTCTGTATCACTTTTTCCTTATTCATCAAAAATTAGGATAAAGACACCAATTTGAAAAAGGTCTTTAATTCACAGCTTAAAAGTAAATAAATAACATTTTTTCTAGAAACGAAAAAGCAAAACAAAAATTGAGCCCCGATAATCAGTTAAATTACAAATGTTCTTGACGCTGCATTTGCAAAATAACCCGTATGCCTGGTGCCCATGGTACATTGAAAAAATTGATATCAAATCATGACAACTTAGATTTTTTTTTAATTTACTGGTCTCTATGATCCCTCTCAGAACACCACTCCACAAAAATCTCACAAATACTAATATTTCTATCGAAACTATTAAATATATAAAAAACAATACAACTGGAAAATAATACACAAAATGACAGAAAACATTGCAAAAGTCCTAATCACCTTCAGAAAAAAAATTGATTGTTAATAGTAATTAGCTCCCAATTTTGTCGCAGCAGTTCTGAGTCAGATGTTTACGTATGAGCAAAGTTTCTTCTAGGACAATTATCACCGGAACGAACAAGAAGAAGAACAAGAAGAATACGTCCTGAAAGCGGAAAACGAACATGCATCATTGTACCAGAAAAGACTTCATGCAAATATAAAATTACCACTAAATTCCTGTTATCTGTTATTTTAGTTGATAACAGAAGCGAAATAATAACTGATGTTTCATCATAAGAAAATTTCCTCCATGTAAAATTTCGGAATAATATGTGCGTTGTCCATAACGGAAATTGTCCATCAAGATTTTAAAGAAAGTCATATCGAAAATGTTACGGTGTTGCCACGGTGGCGGCTCGACGCTTGCTACTTGTATTAGTACATCGCAACGCGAAAATCTTTGATAAATGTCACAACAGGGCATTATTTCCCGTCCACTTTGCAGTGGACTTGACAATTGATTTAATTTTTGATTGGTGACAATTCTACCGTTGACAGTTAGATGTTTGTTTTGGTTAGATAAGATTTTAATCGAGTTTGGACCAGGATGACAATTATTTTCCTTATAACTTGAAAACTTTGATGGTTCCCATTAAGAAATTCAGATTTCGACTGGGATAATTGCAAAACAGTGGCTTATTAACACTCAACTGCCACAATTTTGATTCGATCTGTGCCGCAAACGATATTTTTCCATAAATGAGATTAATTAATTTTTCGAAGTCCGTTATAATCCTAACAAACAATACTCGCAGTCGCACACTTCGTTAGAAGCAATGTCCCGTTTTTTCGGACCAATCGTGGTCGATGCTTCAGGACTTTTCTTCCGATGCTGGTCTTAAAGTTAAAAGCGTCTTTTTTTACCATTCTACGATATGCCAAGCAAAAATAAAGAAGTTAATATCAAATTTTGCATTTCCATTTTCATCGTGTCTCAAAGAGCAGAAGGTACAGTTTTTGTAAAAATAATTCAAAGTGTTTTTGGGAAAATTCCAACGAAAAACTTCGTGTTGATCGCAATGGGTGAAAACCCCTTCTTATTTATTGTTAAAGTATAAAAGTATAATAGAAATTAATTTTTAACGGATTGTGACACCGACTTTTAGTCCTGTTAGGTAAAATCTCATTTACAGGTAAAATTCGAGCCGAGAATAAGAAATAGATTTGTAGTTAAATGATAACACTTATCGATTTAAAACAAGAGTAATAATTTTTGAGGATTTGTGATTCTGCTTAAGGCAATCTGTTCTATTTTGTAATGCCAGTCTAAATAAATGAAATACAGGCAAAATAAAAAAAAATGTTCTAGGTAAAGTGCCATCTAGAATTCCAATGAATTCCAAAATGCTCCAAAATTTTTCAAGCATTTTCTATAGTGGATAAAACTGAATAAGTTCATAAAATCACAGCGAATTCAAAACTTCAATATTTGTTTACTTTCTGACTAGCCGAAAAGTAAGATTAAAAAATTATGGTCAAGATAAATCGAACGAGTGCTTGAGGTTGAGTTTTCATTTTGATAGTTCCAAGTATCGATCTGTGCTCAAGATGGCTTTACGAAAAGATAATACGGCAGTCAATCCCAACAGGAGTGTTCGTACTTTATACTATGATTTTTGACGAATGCATTTCCAGCGTTGCTACGCGGGTCACGGTTCTGCCGCGCGTGACTAAATACGCCGACGTTGACATTATTTTATTCCGTGCGCGCCATCGTCAATAAATCAAACCGCACACAGTTAACAATCAATTTCGAATTCCCGCGTCGATATAATATTTATCTCTTTCGTTAATTACGAACCTGCGGGGAACGAGGCCATTGTTTCGCCATTTCGACAAAATTAATCTGCACAAGGCGGCGATTTTTTCTTGTCGATAAACGTTGACAGAGAGCTCCAATCCAACAAGAGGCGACACTGTTTTGTTTGTTAGTCTGGTATCATATCTCACGTTGTTCAAATGTGCTAATTGGTAAGAGAGTTTTTCTTATGTCTTTGATTGTGTCTTTTATTTTATTTCGATTGCTATTTAACATCGTTTCACTCATGCCGGAAACTTCTTGTACTGCAAATGTCACTTCCAGACTGGCCACAGAGGTCATTTCCTTTTATTAAGAATTAATATTAATATATAGTATTAAAGAAAATGTTCCAAAGAATAATATTTTTGAACGTGCTCTTTTGTTCATACGAGTTGGCCAAGAAAACACTTGGAACATTAGTGACAAGTTGGGTTTACTTTTTTTGTTTCGTTTCTAATTCTAGGTTTTTGGGGAGCGAGTATTTGACAAGAAATTGTTTTAAAAAATGAACACGAATTAACAATAATTAGAAGTAAACGCATCAATTATTTACCATCATTTCAGATATATTAAAATCCGAGAATATGGAATTGAAAAATGCTTATCGGGAACATGTTTTTTCTTATAACGGTCAAATTTTTGAACAAACGTCGGGAACAGCTATGGGTTCTCCACTATCACCAGTCATCGCGAATATATATATGGAAGCCTTCGAGAAGAAGGCTTTTGACACCTTTCATCTAAAACCAAAATTATGGAAACGCTACGTCGATAATATTTTTGTTATTTGGCCTCATGGTCAAGAAACCCTAGTACATTTTCTTAGACATTTAAACTCGATACACTCTAACATACGTTTTATCATTGAGTTGGAAGCTAATAATAACCTGCTATTCTTAGATATTCTGATCAATAGAAAATCAGACCTAACATTGGGTCATCGTGTTTACAGAAAATCTACGCACACAGACCGATACCGGAATGCATGGTCACATCACCCTCCGGCCCAAAAATCCATGTATATGCGGCAAAGAATACATTGGAGAGACCGGACGAAAAATATCAACTAAGCTCAAAGAACACGAACGAGCCTTACGACTAAGACAAATAAACTCATCAGCTGTGAGACGGGAGTAGAAAAAATACACAATTACATACTGATCTAGCGTGCGGGAAGCGTCACTTTACCACATCAGTGAATCAGTGACCATGAATCCGAGCCACTTCAGACATTCCCGGGATTTTACCGAGCGGATTTAGGAGCAATCGGATGTTTTGGGAGATTTTACCGCAAGGCTAGAATTTTGACGTTTGTGCATTCTAACGGTTATGTCAGTGAATGTATGCCTGTTGTTTTACGAAAATGTACCCAACAATTAATGGTCGTAGAAAAAGTGTAATACGCAACACGTTCGGTAAACTTTTGAACTCGTGAATCAAATGCCATTTACCGCACTTTTTACATAATATACTATCATCATACTGTCTTTGTACAAGTATTGCTTTATTAATGTCACGCTAATTATTATTTACTGGGTGCCAAGAAGTGCCAGTCGCTGTGTTTTTGTTATGTTTGCAATCTGATGCGAACATAGCATAGAAAACATTAGTGATTCCGGAAGTTCCGATCAATAATTGTACAATACAATACAATTTTTTAGTTAGTTTAGGTAATTATTATCCAGAAAGTCTTAAGTTTTTTTTTGTAGATACGTACATTAAAAATATATCTTATTTTTAATTTAAATACAAATAAACAGTATTATTATGATTTAAGAATAAAATTTTAAAAAATATAATATTTGCGTCTGACTCCTGTCTCTACTCACGTCTGTAAAATACCTAATTACGCACCGATCTAGCGTGCGGGAAGCGTCACTTTACCACGTCAGTTTCGTTTCCCACGAATTCGAGCCACTTTGGACATTTCCGGGATTTTACCGCACGGGCTTGGGAGCAATCCGATGTTTTCGGAGATATTTCCCTCGCTTTGAACTTTGACGTTTGTCAATTCTGACGATCATGTCAATGAATGTATTCGTGTCGTTTTGCGTAAATGTACAACTAACCAAAACTAACGGCCATAGAAAAACTATAGTATGCAACACGTTCGTTAAACTTTTTAAGCCACTCGTTTAATAAACACTCGCTCCGCTGCGCTCCGCTCGTGTCAAATAAATTCATGAGTCAAATTCCATTTACCGCACTTGTTACATAATATATTGTGATAATAATATGGACCCAATATTAATAGACAAAGAGGTAAAACCTATATTCTATATACATACATAAAACCTAAGATTTCCTTTGTTTCTAAAATACTTAAATACCACAAATTGTTTCTGTGTGGCGTGGGTATAAGTCTCTCCTCTTTCCCTAAAAGTAAATGAATTTATATTAAATTCAAATTAGAATAATATCGTTAATTGAATACCGATGATTATTATGATACACAGAATGAGATATAACCCAAATATTTTTAAGTGTATAAAATCCTCCTCAACAATTTATTATATTTATTATACTAATAATTTTGAAAATTTATCTACAAAACACCGCTTATTTTTTGTATTACTACATACTACTTCCCGCAAAATTATCTTGTCAAGTACTGTAATATTTAATTAATTAATTATTTATGTGCGTAAGATGTATTTGGTTTTATTTAGGTATATTATTCTATATATTAATATATGTAAAAATTGTAAATGTTTTTATTGATGACAATAATATAAGTATAAGTATAAGTACAAAATAAAAATAATAACAATATAAAGTTCGTCTTTTCGTGCATATCTTTTAAACTTAAAAAATGTAATATATTTTCGAATACCACAATTTTGTTCTATGAAATTGATAAATAAAATGGTAATGACAAAGACAAGTGCTTAACTCACTTTCTTTAAAATAAATTTCTCCTAGTCTATAAACCTAGTCTATAATCTATACAGCCGCCAAATAAATTTCGATCTATAGCGGCTATGAACTTCAAATGAAGCGATCGAGACGAAAGCAAGGTTACGAAAAATACCCCCTCCCCCCTTCACGATCGGTAGGAGCTCTCTGACGTCGACCTCTTGTAGTAATTTTCGTACTGGACCATCGGCGGTGGCAGAAACGCGATTTTCATGAAAATTCGTTGCAAACATCGGGAAATATCAGGGGAAATAAATATGAAACACCGGTATACCGATCGATCGGTATATTGCAAAGTGTCGGACGATATTCGGACGCGATGCGTCCGACTGATAATTAAAGTTTTGCAATAATATCGACGCGTACTACATATGTCGGCGACATATTGGATGTGTTAATGTTCGCTCTTTGTTGGCGGTTTTGCCCGCCAGAATTCGACAAACCGAACGCGGTTTCCCGTACGATAATTCATGGATATATTAAAAATATCCAATCAAATCGTGTGTTAATTAAAATCGATTTATGTTTAAAATTTGTAATCTCTAACATTCCCTACACAAGATCTGTTCACATATTAACATACAAAGAAGTATGCAACAAACTGAACAAAAAACATAAAAAAAGGAAAGGCGTACTAAAATAAGTGGAATCTCCATAACATATTCAACGTAAATAGCATATGTACAGGTTCTGTTCTCCGATACCCCATTTCTAATTGGTCCATTTACTGAATTTAAAAAAAAACTTCAAAGAGAGCTTTGTTAACTGTAACTACTTTTGTAAAGAGTGATAAATTGTTTTTTTATGAACTGTGTCCAAAATAATAAAATACCAGATCAGGAATTAATGCATTTCTTTGAGAACAATCAATTAGAAAATGTCGAGCTACATTTTACATTGGCTACAAAGGATGAAATATTTCACATAATAAAAAATATTAAACGCTTTAGGTGATGATAAATTAAATATTACTCTAGTACAGCTTTGTTGTCCTTTTATAATCCCTTTTATTACATATGTCATAAAAGAATGTATATTGAAGTGGTAATTTTTCAACAGTTTCAGTCAAGGTCTGAAGAGGCCAACAGGAGGATTGGCGAAACGTCAGCAAGTTCGACTCAGCAAAAACAGACGCAGGAGGAATCCAGATGTTTTGAAAAAAGTATTGAAGTCTTATTTTCCAAGATTTTGGAAGCACGCAAAGTCACACCTTTTCCTAAAGTAAGGAACTCCGCAGAATTTAAACAACTCTCTTTAAGGGTTTAGAAAAAGCAATTGATAGGCAAATAAGAACATTTTTAGCTATCTTGGCATATTACCTACAAAACAATCTGGGTTTAGAAAAAAATAGAGTTGTGAAAGTACTTTCATCGATATTACAGACGAGTTACTGCGGGCATTGGATGAATGCAGAATTAGCACTCTAGTTTTATTTGGCTTTAGCAAAGAATTTTACCTGATCAATCATAAATTGCTTTAGTGAAGATGTATGCGTGTTTCTAAATTCGTTATTATCCGATAGAGTTCAACATTGTTGTATGCAATCTATACTTTTAACTTTGTAAAGGGTTTGAAATATTGTAATTATCACCTATAGTTCATGAAATGAATCAGTCTGAAACTAAAATTAATACTGATTTAAAGAACTTTTATAAAATTGCATTCGATCATCTACTGAAGCTACATCCAACGAAGTCGTCGGTGTTGCTTTTTGGAAATGACTCTCAAGTATATAATGTAATAAACAAAATGACCATAAAAGTTAATGACACTCTTATACCATACTCGGAAAAAGTTTAGGATTGACCTTGGACTACGGGCTTACATTACAAACAAATTGAGAATAGCATATGGGAATTTAAAGTTAATATACAGTAATAGATATTTTTTATAATTGCTACAAAGAACCTACTTTGTGAATCCATCGTTTTGGTTTGGTTGGCAATCTTTTTGAACCCTGCTAACCAATATCGTATCCAGAAAATACAAAATTAATGTTTGCGGCTTGTTTATGGAGTTCGCCGGTATGATCATATTTCTCCATACTTGGCTGCATCGGCTTGGCTTAACATGTGCAGTAGATTTAAGTTACACCGTGCTACATTCTATTTGAAATTAATTAGGAATAAATCTCCTGAATATCTTTTCAACAAAATCACTTTTCGTTCAACACTTGAATTTAAGAAGAAAGTTTATATTGAGAAAACCACAACATCGAAAAGAATTGTTTAAAAGATCATTTTCTTATAGCATTGCACATACAATAAAAAATTTAAGCCTTTTCGATTTAACAATATGAAGCAAAACTTTTAAAAACGGTTTTAAAAAAATTATTGGAACTGTAATTTCTGAATCGGATAACCACTCTGCGGATTACCCTTGCCCTCTCCTTTCAACCACGACTTCTCTCTTTATTGAAAACAATATTTAATAAATAATGTATTTAATTTTGTTTTGTTTGCTTTTATTTTGTAATTTAGTGTACATTAAATTAAGGCTGTTTTATTAGGCCTTTCGTTTGCCCTAAAATTAGTACAATCTAATATTTTATGGTGTAATAATATGTACATTTGGCACAACAGTAAATTTATTTATTATTATTATTATTATTATTATTATTATTAGCATTATTATAGATTCTGATCATAAACCTGCTAGCTTGCTCATTCCCTATTGCCAATAAAATAAATATTCTAAGCATTGCTCTTATCTACAAATGAATCTAATAATGATACTCTCAATTCTTTCCCAAATATACTAAAAGATATGTTTATTATCTAATGACAGATGATGTCAGATGAGAGATGAGGTTTACGTGGGCAATGACACTAATAAATTTCTAGGCCCCCTCCTTTTTTTAAATCTATGTGTCAGACTTCCCTTCTATTTTTCAGTCATGCACATAACATTATTACGCTGATGATACGCAGCTTTACATGTCGTTTAGTCCCGATGAAAGCATTCTTATGATCTTGAAAATTCAAACGAATTCTCGAGGAAGATTGAGATAAAAGATTTTGACAATACGCACAAACTCGATATTTTAATACAGGGTGAGCCAGTTAAATTCACAAAGAATGTAAGTTGTTGCCTCCAGAAATGTTATATGAACTTAAAAAGGATATATCAACACAGAAATGTCCTAAGCTGAAAATAAATGCTGTGTGACTCGCTGGTCCTTTCATAGGTTAAATTTAAATTAAAAAAGCACGGATATAGGACGAATACAGAAACTTCAAAAATAGTTTTTGCGCATAATTTATGGAATAAAAAAGCGCAATCCGGTCAGTGATACGTTAAAATTGAATGGTTGGTTAAATATGCAAAATAGGAGATACCTACATAGAGCAACTTTCTACCTTTGGATTTTGACTATTAAAACACTAGTATTTGTATCGCAAGATTCGCTTCAGGACTGACACCCCCTCTCCACAAAACAGAATTATATAAATGGTCTTTCTCCTACCAGATTTCAGAAGTACTTAACAAATTGCATCTTGAAGTTAAAGAATCAGTTCCAAAACAAAGATTTAAGAAAAAAGTGTCCGAGAAACTATATTTAGAACACCGAAAATAGGGCTGTTTAATAACCATGTTAACTCGTGTGATTTTTTGTTGTTGTCACATTTCTTATTTTCCTTATGTTTATATAATTATTGAATAATTGTCTACTGCCGCCAGATTATGCAACCATAAACGTTGTTGGTCGTATGCGTCACTTTATTATTACTTTTTTATTATTTTAGTTATTATCTTTTGTCTTTCGTGTTATTATAATTTCTTTTTTGAATTTGCCAAACACTTATATGGTCATTTTGCTGTTGTTCAGTTATTTATTTAACTTGCCCTTCTTATTATATTAATTATTATTATCTGCATTTGGGAGTGGGGTGAGATGTGTTCCCTAAATATGATTGGTTGGTAAGATATTTCTCTTAAAGTAATTATGACTTTAAACTTTCTGTCATTCTGTCATGATAATTTGGATTGAAATAACTTTAACAAACGCTAGCGGCTGACTCACATGGTATTACTCAGGCTGTTGTCGTAAGTGTAGGGACTACCGGCAGTACTGGTGCTGTACGGGGTCGACAGAGTGTACTGTTTAAAATTTCTCGGTTTCGACTTTTGTCTCTGGTGGTATTCCTGTTCTTGTCTCTCCTCTTCGATTGCAGTCTCGATGTCGTTATTGTTTTGCGAGTTTATCGCGTTCGGTGAAAGATGTTCCATTTTCAGCACGTCGTAGCGTCGTTCGTCTTCGGTGTGGTGAAATACCTCGGAAAGTTCGTATTCTTTTATCTGGAACCCAATGAAAATTACATTGGAAGACTGGGAAATCATGTTTATTGCACGAAATACTATCCCGATGCCAAAACAGACCTGACAAGTAATAAAATGTGTGAATAAGTTTAATGTTGACTGTACCCAAATATTATTTAAGTGTGGCAAAATGTTTGAATTCAATTTGAATTGAAATTGAGTAAATACTTGGTTAAATTAAGTAGTATAATTAATAATGAAAAGACATCGAAACTCTTGCAAGGAATTAGTTTAAGGAGTAATACGTATTAGTATATTATTTTAAAAAAAGTTTCTTATAGTTTGAATGTCTAAGAAAATCTAGTAATTATTCTTGATCACGAGGCCAAATAAAAGTATCAGCGACATGGCGCTTATATAATTTTGATTTTGGTTGGAAGGTATCGAGAGTTTTCTTCTCAAAGGCTTCCACAAATAAATTCGCAATGACTGGTGATAATGAAGAACCATCACTGACCACATATCAAAAGTTCTTAAGAAATGTAACGTCAAAACCAGACCCACTTGTCCAGAAATCTCTCAACATCTTCGATCCCTCAAAGACAAAAATTCCGTTTGAGATGCCAGGAGTTTGCAGCATTCCATGCATATGCGGCAAAGAATATATTGGAGAGACCGGACGAAAAATATCAACTAGGCTCAAAGAACATGAAAGAGCCTTAAGTCTATATGTAATATGTAATCAATTTTTCTACGAACGAAAGATCAGAGAATTTATAGAATTCTATAAGCAAAAAAACAATCTTAAACGCGACTCAGGTCTTTACCTGTCGCCAAAGTGGCTGAAGATCAACTCGCCCTCGTAATATCCAGTGCCAGAAGAAGAAGAGGAAGAAGAAGAAGAAGGACTTAATTCTCATTCATAGAAGAGTTGAAAAATAAAAGCACAGAAGTCGAAGCTGGAATGTGCAAGCTAGCAACCGTGTTGCAAGCAGAGATTACCGCACTAGAACACTGCGTGAGACAAATAAAGACGACAAAAATTCGTAATAAAATAGTTGCGATTTTCGCCGACAGTCAAGCGGCAATAGAACTTAAACATTCAAGTTAGTTTTGGATTGTCATAAATTATTAAGATTATCAAATTTGGTAATAATTTCTCTTATTTTCAGTTCACTAAAAATCCAATAATTCAGTGTGCAGTTGTCATTAGGCATCGAAAAAATAGTTTGAAAATATTTTTTTTTGGGTCTTGTTTTCTTTGTTGTCCTTGTATTCAAGATGTTTTTGAGTGTTGAGTTTTCCCGTAAAATGTTAATTTCCATTGCTCACCTTTATGAACTGAAACGTCGCGATCGGCGGCAACCTTTTCAAATAGGGATAGAAAAACGATCCCGCAGGATGGGCCGGATAGTGGGCGGTAATTCTGTACGTTTCGCCTTGGGGTGCGGTGGGCCAGTTGGGTGCTGTAAACGTAAAACCGTTGTCTGTCCCGGCATCCATGGGATCCACCTGTAACATAAATTTAGTGTTAGAAGTTCTTGATATTATATTAAAGCTCTTAAACTTGGTTGGCAGAATACAATAAAAATATGTTGAGCAAAACAAATGGTAGTATTGGAGAACAATGGATTTTAAAAAGTAAATAAAAATAGCACCATGCATGAATTGAAGAAATCCGAGTTAGTGTGGTTACTTTAATTATTTTCAAATTGGTGGCGATATTGGCAAAGAGAGAGGGATCTAGGCCGACAAGCAGAGTTAGACATTATTGCATAGAATAATGTTATATACACTTTCATTACTGACTTATGGAAAGAGAAAGAATGACAGAAGTAAAGAAAGAAAGAAAGAGAGAGAGAGAGAATTAAGTTTAAGAATTTGTCCACTTTGCCCATTTATTACACATACCACTTCAAAATACTGCATTCAAGTTATTCAAGTGACCCATTCCTCATACGTACAATATTATGCCAAAGTTTTACCGTTTCTGACATATTTTGAATTTTATGACAAAAGCGACGTTTCCAGGTTAAATATATTTATCGATTTCTTCAACTGAAAGCCGTTGTGATATATTTTGAATATTTGTAATATAAATGAATACATACAGAGTTTTCAAAGAGCAATATTTAAAATTTAAATAAAAAAAATGTAAAAAAATGTTGATATATAAATTCTCAATAATTTATCGATAAAATGTGATGTTATCTATATTTTACGTCTTTATTTTTATTTCGGGCATGTTCCAATTTTTAAATTCTTTTTGGCGGTAAAAGTCCATGAGGTCCTATCCATAAACCTCTAATCAATCGAATTTCTAATAGCAATAGACCAAAAATTCAGGTTCTTATTTTAGTTCGCTGGGAAAGTTAAAATGTATGAAATTGTTTGGTCATTTCACAAAAATGGTTTTTGACGGCAAACGGTACGACCTATATTCGACTTTTCGGAATCGGCCGATAGAGGCAGGAAGTAATTTCTTGAAAGCGATTAAAATTTTGCATGGAGGGGGGGGAGGCAGGAATCCGAATCCGGCAGTATTTTTGGAAAATATCGGTAATTTCTCTATTAAACCTATTTTGTGCTTATGTTTTGTTTCCATTTTGTCATTTGTCGAGAAATGATTAAAAAAATAAATTTTGAACATTTTTGGATAATCAGTGTTAGTTTTGGTAAGTTACGAAGAAACAAATTTCATTTTTACATATTTTTGTACGAATGTTGCAAATAATAAACTTTTTAATTTGAATTTTATTTCCAAATATTACTAGTTTTTCCATTATTAGTTCACCCTTTCTTTTATAAGTAAATTAAATCGAAATAAATAATCCAAATAACTTTCGCATTTAGGTTTTTTTAAATATTTTTGCGGGTTTGGAGATATAGTGCGATCCTGTACATATACAGAGTTTGTTGATAATATGGTGGAGTCGCGGTTATCTAGAACGGCTCGACGCATGGCTAAGGCCTTTAGTTTGCATATTATGCTAAAGCCGACGTATTTCTTATTTGCCAACAAAACCGGAAACAAACTAAGCAAACTCCTAAAGGATTGCATCATAAAATCGGAAACAAGCTATAAATAAAACCGTGCTTTAAGAAAGTTTCAAGGAATTTGAAGAAAACAAAAACAATTATGAAAATTATATTTTGTGGATATTTTAATTTCAATAACTTTTTTCCGCTCATAACCCCATATGCAAGTACTAAACTTTTATTGTATATTTTTAAATATTTGTATAATAGTAACAGCAGTACGGACCTCTATCGTGATGCTGTCTAGCCAATTGCCGTTGACGCAGAGGTTAAAACTATCGATACCGATGAACCAGTCTGGCGACGGGACAATCCTGGACATCAAGGACACCTGCAAAATGATAAAATATGCGTATTAATCAGCCAAATTGGATGGCGATTAGCTGATCGATCGGACGGGCGTAAATAATTTTACATATTTAATTCTTTGTTAAACGTTAATTCAGATTTGGATAATAAATGTAATTACGTTGAATTAGGGAAGCGATAGTTCAATATATCTGCAAAAACATGTTAGTCGCCAACGATTTAACAAAAAATAATTCTCTTTGTACTGGCTTATAATCCGCTCAAAATGTATATAGGGAAATATTGATAATTAATTACCAAATAACCAAGTTTGTCACAGAGTTTGACCCGCATGCTGTTGATGATACGAAAAAATAAAAGAAAGAAATCATATAGACAGATAAAATCAAATACATACATCTGATGGAGTACTACCTGACGCTGATCTTAAAAAAGTTAAAATTTTGCAGAAGTACTTTATAAGATTTTTGCGTAAAAAGAAGAGAATCCAAATATTTTTTATACCTTTTACAAATAAACCACAACTACGGTATGCCGTGGCAACAAAATCAGAGCATGGTTGTCTAACAAACGTAAAAGGCAAAATAACCTTTATTTTTCTAATGCAAAAATTGTTCAAACTTTTACCACAGCCCAGCATTGATCGGCTATATATTTTTAAAATAAAAAAAAACAAAATTAAAAAATTTAGCTTTTCCATTCTTTTTTTTTATTATGATGGTAAAACAAATAATAACAACTTTTTTTTTAAGCAACACTAAATTAATACGAAATATTACTAAATATGACAACAAAAAATCAAAATCAAAACAGCAGTGAAAGCGCAGTACTTTTCTTTTCAATAAGGATCGCATAAATAATATAAATAAAATATTTCCAAATAAACCGAAAAGAAATAATATATTCCTGCACATTTCAACAGTGAGTCGAAATGCTGGAAAAAGTAGTTCTAAACCATACCATATGTTTTAGATTCCTTCAAGTAAAGTTAAGGAAAGACCCGGTCAAGCTGCAAGAATGAAATATGGCCGAACAGGTCCGTACTTTGCTTAGAATTATTTGTAATTATGTATGCAGGTTCAAGCTTTGTAGAACCTCAATTAATTGCTTTTTGGTATAATGTTCGTGAAAATAAATGTCGTTATTATACATGTAGTTTTGGATTGTCGCTGTTGTGTCGCATGAGGAAGGTGTTTTAGTCAACTGTCTACTGTGATAACTTGCGTTGTCCATTACAACGACGCTATTAGAAGCAATGTTTGGAACTAGTTTGTTTTTAAACCAACTTTCAAATATTCAAACTTTCAAATAAATCAGGTTTCATCCAAATAAATAATTGGCCTTTGTTGTTCTCTGTAAATGCTAATTTTTTCTAGATATTCCAGTGGCCATTTCCGAATTCTAAAAGATTCCATTAAAACTTCCATCATCTTTTTCAAGCCTCAAGTCTCCTAATTAAGATATCTAATGTAGACACGCTTTGTTCTTCGTATAACTGATAAATTTTACGCCGTATTATATCTTGATCACTTTCATCTACACTCGAGAAAATGTCGGCATCGCTTCTTTTTTTCCTCGCTGAAATGGGATTATTCACAATTTTCCACACAGAATTTTCATCAATGTGGCCGTTTCTTCTAAAGATGCTTGCCTGCTGGCACCACGTTCAATGAGAGTCAAATAAACATTGTTTATATCTTCCTTAGTCTGCAGAGAATATTGTTTTCTACATTTGGGCGGGAGCATCTCCTGAGATACACTAGACTCGAACATATTTTGCATAATTCGCATACGATTCAACACACGCTGTAACACACGCTGTATTACATACGAAATAAGAATGATTACTAATAAACTTAAACTTAGTAGCATACCAAATCAAAGAATGTTAAACACAGGTAGGTATAAAATTATTTTCTATTACGGACCACAATTTTACCTGAATTTAAATTCCGAAACTTTAGGCAATAATCTTGTTGCATTGTATTAATGACCACCCTTGGATAATCCCATTGAAAAGCAATTGGTCCCTTTCTTATATCTATAAACAGACCATACCTCAAAAACTGCAAGAGTTGGAAATAAAGACTTAAACATTTCAAAGCAAATATTATGTCCTTGAAATTTAAAAATCTATAAATAACCACAGAAGAATTTTTAATGCGCAAACAAGATTCGTTGTGCCTTCACGACATCTTTTCCACGTTTCCGCTATTTAATATGGTTAGTATGGAGTTACAGAGAATATGGGGAGTAAAATATTTTATATTGACAGACTGCTACACAAAATTATTCTAGCAATAAAATTATAATTTTCTCTCAACTATCTCAGAAGGGTGCGTTTTCTGTAAGCGAGAGCCCATACGGTGTCGGTGCCATAGTTATACAAATACAAATGATTTATTGTGCATACGTAATACATATTACCCAAAAGGAAAGGATTAGACTATCTTACATATTTCCTGTGGTTAATATTTCATAACAACATAAAATGGTAACTAAAAAATAGATTCAAACTAAAATCTTCACAATCAGTTGCGTTGATCTCTTACATCTCATTTAAAACTATAGATAGAGAAGGACAAAAAAGGCAAGAAAATTAAGGAAGTTCAAAAGTACCTCATGGATTCTCAATTATCTTAGAAAGCTGCGTTATCTGCAGGCGAGAGCCCATACGATATCAGTACCATAGTTATACAACTACACATGATTTATTGTGCATACGTGGTTGTGTGTGGTTGGCCTTAGCAGATAGATACCAGACTGCATGGCTCCTAAATAAATTACTGTGTTACTACAGTAAGAAGTGATTTTTAAAAGTAAAAACGTACGCAGGTGAAGTATTAAGATATACGGTATGTACGAATAGGATATAGTATTGGAACCTAATAATTATAATTACTTAACTACACAAGACCTGTTAAAATTAACCTACAAGATCGAGTCTTAAATCAAACAAAGGACTAAGGGCGACCATACACTACAAATACACAACAAATAAATTATAAGATTAAAATTGTTATGAAAGAGAACGAAATTACAACAAAACAGCTTTTTGATTTGATACAAGGATTAATTACATCAAATTGGGAGATAAAAGAGCAGATTATGCAATCCAGAGAAGGCGTTAAAGCCGAGATAAATTTAGTGAAGGATGAGTTATTGAATGAACTGCAACTGACCAGGCAAGAAAATGAAACCTTGAAACTAGTAAATAGGCTTTTGAGGAAAATAATGGAGAAACTGGAAAAAACCACTAAACAACATAACTTACGGAAATATAACTGCGAGGAAGAAAAAAATATATCAAGAGATCTTGACAAATTTGTCAAAATTATAAATAACGACGCACAGGTTTCTTGTATATCTCAAGATTTTAGAAATTTGTATCGTCTGGGAAAACTGAAAAAGGACAAGACTAGAGCAATTTTTATTATAATTTTTAAAGGGTAATATACTTAGAAACGCCAATAAGCTCAAGGAACAAAAAATTTTTGTCTTAGTAGATTACACACACAATCAATACCAAGATCGAAAACTGCTAAGAAAACATCTTCAAACTGCCAGAAATAGAAACCAGGCAGCAGAAATAAAAAAGAATACTCTTTTCGTTGACGGAAAGAAGTTTCTCATTCAAGATTTAAGAGGGATAGAGAGAGAAGACGAAAAAGCAGAAGCAAAAGAAAATCAACAATCTCAAAGAATACCGACCTGAAATGAAAACCAGAGGACTCACCCGAGGTAAATGAAGACCGCAATCTGAAGAGCAGAGCGAGAAGGGCAAGAAATCTGTCTAAATAACAAAAATAGCATACTTTTTTTTTATTACTATAAGGCTATTAATTTACGACTTTTTTTAGTTATATTCAAAAATGAATAATTACATACGAGATTACCGGACTGATAAAATTTAAACCACAAAAATTAGTTGTTTTAGCGATTATATAAATATCTCAAAAAACTCTAGTAACTTTTTTTCGATATACCTCACAAACGTACGAAATCTTGGAAAGCATTTTCTTGAGTTGCAGGCTTACCTTACTAGTTTTGAAATAATTGTGTTAACAGAAACCTTTCTTCTAGCCGATACCTCGCTTTTAACAATACCAGGCTTTAAATTAATTTATAATGAAGGCGACGTCACCAGTCACGATGGAACTGTTATTTATATCAAGGACTCTATTAACTGTGAATTCAACATTGACTTTCTAAACGATATAAAAATAATAAATTTAAAAGTTAAGCTTAATAGTGAACTTTTTAATATAATAGAACTCTATAGATCACCATCATCAAATGTAGAACAATTTTTGAATCAACATAAAAATGTTTTGAAAAAGCATGATCATTGTATTTTGATAAGCGACACCAACATAGACTTGCTTGACGATGAATATTACATTGAAGAATATAAAAATATTTTAGGAGAGGGCTTCATAAGTCCAATAAATGATGTAATAAGACCACAATTACATACATGCCTTGACCATGTTTTTTTGATGTCAAAAAATACTCCAGATCAGGGAGAGTCATTTATATTTTTGAACCAAATCACAGATCACTGCCGAATTGCTATGCATTCAAAGAAACTTCAAATGACAAAACCTTGTTTAAACAAACTGAACTACATAAAAAGTATATTGATAAAAATAAACTAAAACAACTTTTAAGTAATGAAACATGGAGTTGTATATATAACGAAACAGACATAGACATAATAGCAAAAAGCTTTATAGATATCATAAAAACAAATATAAAATCAGCAACAATAACAAGAAAATATAATAGTCAAATTGTAAATAAAAACCCCTGGATTACACCCGCAATATTGAAATCAATTAATACAAAGTACGAATTACTAAATAAAACAAAAAAATATATAACAAATCCTGTCTACGCTCATCAATACAGAGTGTATAGAAACAACCTCAATAAAGTTCTTGACAGTGCGTATACTACATATCACAAATCTAAAATGGACAAAAATCTTAACAAACCTGACAAACTGTGGAAAAACGTAAA